CTCACTCGTGCATATCGTTTGGATTCCTCGACAAAGATAGGGGAATCGCATTCCCCTACAGCTAGGATAACTTTTAAATTGCTTATACACTCTGAGTTGTTTTCTAATTTTTTCAATTCATCGATTGGAGCGAAAGTATACAAACTGATTTCTTCTCTAAAAATATAATTCATTAATTGTAATCAATGCTTAAGTGATTTTCGAGTATAGTTAATATATAGGTTATATAGTATATAAGTTAATATATATTTTTTTACTTATTTTATTGATTTATTCGACTAGAGTATCAAAATATTCAAATTTAAGAGAAATGATAAATTGTCGCATGAAATTTCTCTCTCAGTAGTCATAAAAACATGCATGTTGTATAACGTGTCTAATCCAACATTTATTAAACTTTTGATGATGTTTGGAATAAAAATTTTAAGAATATACTGCCTGATGAAGCTATAATTAGCCTTATGCCAAAGCAACTATAAATAGCATTATAGGGCCTCCCAGCAAACACATGAATAATTATTTTCATTTGACTAATTTTTTTCTAACAAGTTATTTGTACGTAGGACAAGGGGTAGGTGTTTCTCGGCACGTTCCCGTTCTCTGTGTCCCACTTGAGCTTCCTACAGTCACGCCTTATATGGCCAATCTTATTACAATAGTGGCAGGTCAACGGTCCTCGGTTAGGGGTGGCCCCCCGTGGGGATCGTTTCTCTGAGGCCCGATGGTTTGATCGTTCGGGAATGTTGAGTTTGTCTAATCGTTGCGTGGCGGTCCGTACGGGTATTCATTGTGGGGCTGGCTATTGCTGTTATACGGGTGTTTGGCTTCATCTTTCAGCATTTCGCGTTCTGCTATCAGTGCGTCGTCGAACATCTTGCCTAGGCTGACGTTATTCTCGGGGGGAAATCTTTGCCGTAATGAAAACGGGATTCCGTCTTTCAATGCTTCGATTACATCACGGTCAATTTCTAAGGCTTCTTCGCTAGAAAGTTCCCTATTTGTGTCAAGAGCTTTCCAGTCCACTAAAGAGTCACGGATGTCGCGCGTGCAGTTGATGTAATCTAACATTTTTTCGCGTTCGTTTTTGCGCAGTGCAGCCAGTTTGCCTCTTATTTGATTCTGCGTGTCGTATGGAGCGAAAAGTACCTTAAGGCGGGTGAGAAATTCGTTGATGTCAAAAAACACTTGTTCTCCCATAACTACGTCTGCGCGGCCAGTGATTTTGCTCCGGGCTTTCCTAAAGAAGACGCTTCCGTAGGTGTCCCATACTGCCCCAATTAATTAATGACACCAAAGAAACATTTCACAGAAAAATTCGCCTGGTATGAACTTTCTCCGAAGAAAACAGGTTGAAAGGAACATTTTTTACTGAAGGCTTTAACTATGCCCATGGTATGATAAATATGTCATCAGTTAGGTGACTGGATAATGGGGGCAGCAATATACCCCTTCACGGTGGTAGTGAGTAGGTGGCTCCAGCGATAAAGCCAGTATGGACTGTCGCAGTAACCCGAAAGAAAAAAAGTTATAGACAAAACGATACGTATTAATAATTTTCTAGAAGAAATAGGGGGGGGGGGGCATTGGGTGATATTTGTCCCTCGTAAAGCTACTTTGACGTGAGATTAGTTTTAGCTCCATTATAACGTGGACGTCATTTTTAAATCCATTGAGTATTATTATAATATTAAATGTGTAAAATATTTCCAACGTTTGCAATGAAAGTAACTAGTAAAAAGCGAAGAAAGTGTGGAAAAAAAACTTCTGATAAAGTTTTAAAGAATCTTGTCATGAATAACTGTATGTTGTGAAGAAATACAAAAAAAAAATTTAAAGAAAAAGCAGCAGCAATAAACTTACGAAGTGAGCTTAACGGCCTCGTTGACACTTAAAGAAAGCACTGGTTTCAAATCGTAAATTCCGCCAATGGGTACAAGACCCTTAAGCAGCTCTAGGCAACTGTGCTTTGAAGCTCGCCATTTGTGGTCGTGCAGCAAACTTTCTGCGAGATGGGCACCAGCACTATGACCCCCAAGCCAGATACATCTGTACGGAGCACGAAATTTTTAAGATTATTTACCTTTACAGACATCCGTGCCTTGAAGCTTGCCACTTGTGCTGAGCTAAATATCGACAGAATGGCTGTATGAAAAAAAAAATTTAATAATCGATAAATCTTTTATCATTGTCTATCTTTTTTTGCGGTCAATGTTTTACAAGGCAGCTGTTTAAGATTAACTAATTGGACTTTGATTAAGATTCTTTCTGGAGAGAAGGAAGAACTCTTTTACAACTACTGATTACACAATTGTCTGTTAGTCAAATGTTTTGACTATAAAAAAAAGTTGCACGTCAGGTTCTGTAAGTTATCATGTAAATATGTAAATCGTTGTAAAAAAAAAATCAATTCTTATTGTACAGAGATTAATGTAATTATTCTGATGTAAATAAATTGTATATATTTTACTATACTTACTTAGATTTTAAAGACTGAGCCAAAATTATGATTTTTTCAACCAGTAATTTTATTTGCTGCACAATATCGGTTAATCTTACTGAAATCGAAAAGATAATTTGTTAATAGATGTAGTAGTTGAGGATGTATGATTTAATTTTTTTCAATTTATTGTTTAAAATTATTGAAACTCATTTTATAGATAAGTTTCAACGATTTAAAAATCCATTAAAACGCTTACTGTTTACTTTTTATGAAAAGCAAATAAACTTTTTATTAATAATACCACTTGTTGTCTCTTATATATTTAAAATTCTTATATCACATCATAAATAATACGAAAAAGGAAATAAAAAAATATTGGCTCACCGTTTGGACACAAGTCATAACCAGCTACAACAACTTTAATCCCATGAGCCACGAAATTTGGGACCGAAAAACCCGACAAGTCCTTGCTGAACTCCATCCAATAGCCGCCGTGAATGAATATAAAAATCGGTGCATCTAAAATCGTTCAAATATATTACCTATAACCACCGAAAAATCATAAAATATACGATCACTTGAACACTGAATCACAAAAACTTTTTTTTACCATCCGGAAGATCGGTTCCGTATATATCGTACTTGGCACGCTCAGATGATCCATATGGTACGTTCAGCTCGTGCGCTATTGACGAGCGAGTTTTCCTCGTAACTACAAAGTCAAGGAACCCACGCGCGTTAAATTGAAATACTTTTTTTTTTTAAGCAGAGCTACAGCTTACCGTTTTCACAAAATTTGAGGAACCGAGCTTGCAACTCTATCGGACCGTACCTCTTGCTCCAATTGCTCGGCATGTAATTGTTTCTGCAAATTATTTTCATTGCAAACGTTGAAAACATTTAATAATCATACTTAATTAATTTTAAAAACGAAATTCAGCCTATCATGAAAGCTAAACTAGTCTTACGCCAAAGTAGCTTTACCAGAAACAAGTAGCACCTATCAGTGCTCCCCGGCAAATACATCGAAAATTTTTTTTAATTAAAATGTTTTGTACCTATAAAGTACATTATTTAATACAAATGCTGACTCTGGCACGAAAATTTAATAAATTTTCTTAGTTTCTTATGATTTATGTTACTCATTTAATGTTTTTTATGTTGTGTATTATGATTTTCGATAGTAAAAAGTCATTCGTTGTAAGATTTTCTACTATGTCAAAGTGGTCGATATTGTTCCTCAGCAGTAAGAATTCGACATTATCTACAAATTGCATTAGTCTCTGTAAATAATAAAAAAATATGCTTTTTTCACTTTTTTATGTAATTGACGTTTAAAAGATGGAAAACAAAAAAAAACGTTACTCACTCGTGCATATCGTTTGGATTCCTCGACAAAGATAGGGGAATCGCATTCCCCTACAGCTAGGATAACTTTTAAATTGCTTATACACTCTGAGTTGTTTTCTAATGTTTTCAATTCATCGATTGGAGCGAAAGTATACAAACTGATTTCTTCTCTAAAAATATAATTCATTAATTGTAATCAATGCTTAAGTGATTTTCGAGTATAGTTAATATATAAGTTATATAGTATATAAGTTAATGTATATTTTTTTTACTTATTTTATTGATTTATTCGACTAGATTATCAAAATATTCAAATTTAAGAGAAGTGATGAATTGTCGCATGAAATTTCTCTCTCAGTAGTCATAAAAACACGCATGTTGTATAACGTGTCTAATTAAATCCAACATTTATTAAACTTTTGATGATGTTTGGAATAAAATTTTTAAGAATATACTGCCTGATGAAGCTATAATTAGCCTTATGCCAAAGTAACTACACTAGGAATAAATAGCATTAATAGGGCCCCCCAGCAAACACATGAAAAATTATTTTCATTTGACTCATTTTTTTCTAACAAGTTATTTGTACATAGGACAAAGGGTAGGTGTTTCTCGGCACGTTCCCGTTCTCTGTGTCCCACTTGAACTTCCTACAGTCACGCCTTATGTAGCCAATCTTATTACACGGCCACATCATAGTGGCAGGTCAACGGTCCTCGGTTGGGGGGTGGCCCCCCGTGGGGATCGTTTCCCTGAGGCCCGCTGGTTTGATCGTTCGGTAATGTTGAGTTTATTTGATCGTTGCGTGACGGTCCGTACGGGTATTCGTTGCGGGGCTAGCTATCGCTATTATGCGGGTGTTTGGCTTCATCTTTCAGCATTTCGCGTTCTGCTATTAGTGCGTTGTCGAACATCTTGCCTAGGCTGACGTTATTCTTGGGGGGGGAAATCTTTGCCGTAATGAAAACGGGATCCCGTCTTTAAATGCTTCGATTACATCACGGTCAATTTCTAAGGCTTCTTCGCTAGAAAGTTCCCTATTTGTGTCGAGAGCTTTCCTGTCTACTAATCGTCACGGATGTCGCGCGTGTAGTTGATGTAATCTAACATTTTTTCGCGTTCGTTTTTGCGCAGTGCAGCCAGTTTGCCTCTTATTTGGTTCTGCGTGTCGTATGGAGCGAAAAGTACCTTAAGGCAGGTGAGAAATTCGTTGAAGTCAGAAAATACTTGTTCTCCCATAACTACGTCTGCGCGGTCAGTGATTTTGCCCCGGGCTTGCCTAAAGAAGACGCTCTCGTAGGTGTCCCATACCTCCCCAATTAATTAATGACACCAAAAAAAAATTTCACGGAAAAATCCGCCTGGTATGAACTTTCTCCGATGAAAACAGATCGAGAGGAACAATTTTTACTTAAGGCTCTAACTATGCCCATGGTATGATAAATATGTTATCAATTAGGTGACTGGATAATGGGGGCAGCAATATACCCCTACACAGTGGTAGTGAGTAGGTGGCTCCAGTGATAAAGCCAGTATGGACTGTCGCAGTAACCCGGAAGAAAAAAAGTTATAGACAAAACGATACGTATTAATGATTTTCTAGAAGAAATGGGGGGGGGGGCATTGGGTGATATTTGTCTCTGGTAAAGCTACTTTGNCAGTAAGTGCCCCTGGTTGTGTGGGGATTGGCGCTTGCTTTGTTAATTAATAATATTAATTTATTATTCATTCAAACTTATGAGGCTGCTTATTGGCCCATTGGGTTATTGGGTAAAATAGCTTGGGATCAGTTCATCAAGTTATTGTGTGTCGAGTTATCTGGGTATTTGCGTCTTGCACCATATCGCCAATTGGAATTTCCCACAAGTTTGCCAGTCACATTTGGGGAGAACCACTGGCCTCCCCCTTCTATTTAGCTTCTGCATTTTTCTCACAAGGATCTGTAGCTATATATAGGTCCTAGTGATAAAAACGCAAAATTATATCCTCCTCACCCAACACTGGTTGGTCTGAGCATTATTCCACGATCACTGTCACTTACAGTTCATTCTTGATCGCACATAGCACCGCTGCCTAGATCTCATCGTGAACTACTTGGCGACGAAATTGAAATTCAAAATCGTATGATTTTTTCAGCAGACAGTAGGCGCAGAAATTCAAATTTGAAAGAAATCTTTGTATGTATTGGCTAATTAATGCCTAAAAATATTGGATAATGTTGTATAATTACATACATAAATAGTATACCAAAAATTCTTTCGAAGTTGAATTTCCGCGCCTACTGTCTGTTAAAAAAATCATACGATTTTGAATTCGAATTCTCACGCGAAGTAGTTCTCGGTGGAATCCAGTCAGCGGCGCTATGTGCGATCAAGCATTAACTGTGGGCGTGGAATAATGCTTAGACCAACGCTGATACGCAGTCTTTGTATGGGCATTCGTTCGTGCCCTCGAGACAGACAAGATTGAAAATTTTTTATATTTATTTGATAAATGAATATTAAACGGAAAATTTATTTATTTAAATATTTCAATTGACTTGTGTTGCTGCTATGGTATTGTGTTGAAAAAATTGATAAATTTTGTATTTACTATTTACTAATATTTACTCATTTAAATAAAACCACTTCCTTCAAATATAGTTTCTATATTATTATTCTTCATGTCCATTCAAGAAATGCCCACATTGCTTTGATAAACATGATTTTTTTATGTACAATTTCTCATGTCACGAACGCACCTAAAAATGCTCACCCAAAAAAGTGCCCAACGCGCCATCAGTTTAAGTTGTCACTTCTGTCTGCACTCTCGGAGTGCTACTTGTACTTGGTTTTCTTTTTTTTTTTTTTTTTTTTTTTTAACTGGGCATGGATGGTACCTACGTACTAGTTTCAAATCGATACAATAAGTCAGGAAAAATAGAATTAATTATTACTTCGACGAAAATTATTTTTGATTATTATTTAATGAATACATTACAAAAATTAAGTCAATTATCTGACTGACCATTTACAAATCAATTATTAATGATAGTGCTTTCATTACATAGTGAAAAAACGATTACATTCAATAAAATGTTTCTACATCAGTGAATAAAAAGAATCTAGAGAAAAAAATCGATACAAAAAATAGTCAACGCAACTTTTGTATGATATTAACTTGTTCCCCTCAAGTAAAAAATACCTGTTGAAAATTTATTTCATGTTTCGTAAACAATTAAAGTTTCAATACTTCAATTCTTCCTTTCTCTTGTTTTTTTTTTTTTTTTTTTTTTTTTTTTTTTTTTTTTTTTTTNAAATAAGTCTATGCAAAAAGAAGTCAACGCAACTTTTGTATGATATTAACTTGTTTTTCTCAAGTGAAAGATAACTGTTAAAAATCTATTTAATGTTTTTTAAACAATTGAATTTCCAATACTTTAATCCTTCCTTTCTCTTGTTTCTTTTTTTTTTTTGTGTGTGAAAAATTAAATTTTTTACGCAATACAAAATTTACATCACATCGATGAATTTTCGTTAGGATATACAACAGAATTTTTTCAACTGCTAGAATTCTTAAAAATTAAAACCACAAATATTCATAACATTTTTTTTCGTGTTTATGAGAAACAAAATTTTTTACGCAACACAAAATTTACATCACATCGATGGATTTTCGTGAGGATATACAACAGAATTTTTTCAACTGCTAGAATTCTTAAAAATTAAAACCACAAATATTCATAACATTTGAATTTTTGCGCTCGAGAAAAGCCCAGCTTAGTTTATGTAGTCATTCTATCATTTGGTTTGTATTGTAGCATATTGAGCTAAACTTAGTGTTATCACGACAATTAAAAAAACTACGACTTCTAATACATCATTTTGTGAAAATAATTTATTAAAATAGAAATGCAAAAGAACAATAAAGTAAAATGTATTTACTATTATTTACTATTTGGTAATTCTACTCTGTGACTCATATTCATGAAATTTGCTCTACAAATTATTTTTACAGCGCTTAAGAAGACACACGCGCTACAACAACACTTGATGGAGAACTGAGATGATTTTTCCACACTACAGTATTTTTTTCTTGCCATTTGGAGATTAAAAGCAATTAGAATTTTGAACTGCCCCCTTACAGTCCGTGGTAAAGTATCCGTTAAATATTGCGATTTTTCCTACAAAAAACAAGTAATATACACTTCTTCTAGAAACGAAGTCTCAATTCTTCTGGTCCAATCAGTGGAACATATAAAAGTTTTTGCTACATCGATTCAATGCATCATTGATTTCTATAATACATAGTAACAAACAATGCCAGTCGAATAATAAGATGTAAAGTGCAATCAGTTAAGAGACAAAGTCATTGTTTTTACTTTTTATCTTTAAATATTCTATACTTCACAGAAAAAGTATATGTACATATGAGCTTTATTCGGAATTTTGTATGACCATCACGATAAAAAGTAAACTAAAATATATTTTTGTAATACTTTTGCTAGCTAAATATCAATTTTCTTGCAACAAAAACTTGGGGAGGGTTTAATTCTGTGGTAACACGAAATTATTACAAGTAACGATATCTGTATATATCCTGTTACGGTAGGAATTATACCCACACCCATAAACATTTTCCATAACTTAAAATATTTGTTGGCACGAAAAAAATATTTAGTTGCTTTACTTTAAGTACTTTACAACATTTTTACTAACAAATTAGTAAAATCTCATGAATCAAATAAGTTCTCTTCGAATGTGAAATCGTTGGCAAAAATCATTGAATGGCAAGCGACGTCAAAATCTAAATGAAAACTAGAACTTTCAATTCTTTTAAAAATATGTTCATCCCCTAAAGCTTAAATATTTTGAAAATTAAGTCACCTATTACATCTAATAGAAATTTCCCTTTCGTATGTCAAGTACTGCCGAATACTGTATCTACGTGTATTTAAAAATTGTTCATTTTTTTTATAAACGATTTTCTGTGAAAAACTCTGTCTCTTTAAAACTAAGTTACGTACGACAAACTCAAGATCAATATATATCTTAAATACTAATAAAATAATAGGAGAAGAGTCCCAAAATATCCAAAACTTGTTGTCGCAGAGGAAAAAGACACTCAGTCGAGGTTGCGTTAACACACGTAGGGTGGGAGGAAAAAGCTCTTGAGTTTAAGCAGATTGGGTGTAATATTCAAAGCGTAGGAGTGAAAGTAGCTCTGATTAACTTCAAGAAAATACGTGGCACCAATAACTGTACCGTTTACCCCTTCCTAGGAATATATTTGTTGGAGCTATGTGCTCCGACAATGGATTAACCCGGTGTGGTAGTGGTAGTCCTGATGTTGGAAATGGCCCAATATATTATTTATTTCATACTTAGGTATTAATATTTTAAATCTCGCGCACCTACCATAGTTTATTTTGTGAAATATTTCTCGTTGTATGACGAGAACTAATAAATATAAAAAATGTAGAAAAAGAAAAAATTCGACCCTTTTTTTTATTACAAATAACGAGGATCCACTTAAATCCCTTGCACTTGTGTAACAAATTGTTCAAAATTTTTGTTTGATTACTAAGATAAAGTTCAGTTAAATATAAAACTACAATTGTAATGTAACCATAAACATTTTTTCAAGCATCAGAATCCTATCAAAAGATATTTCTTTGTATTTCTTACTGTATATGCTGCACAAATCTTACTAATGTATAAAGCAGAAGCGCTAAAACCGTTGTAATCGCTAACCGCGAAAACTACTGAACTGATTTCGTTGAAATTTTGTACACTGATTCATAATACTTCCTAGATAGTTTTAGCATAGTTTTTATCTTAAAAAATTTAATAACAATAGCAATAAATGAGCTCAAAGTTTTGCAAAAATATGCCAGCTCTTCTCTTTAGTTCAGTAAAATCCGCTAGGTGGCGTC